GAGGGAGGAGCCCCCGCTGGAGCAGGTTTGCGGACAGGACTTGTGACCCTGTGGGGCACCCACGCTGGAGCAGACTGTTCCCACTGCACCCTGTAGCAGGGACCCACACTGGAGCAGTTCATGAAGAACTGCAGTGTCTGGGAAGGACTCATGTTGGAGAAGTTCATGGAGGACCCCACGCTGGAGCAGGGGAAGAGTATGAGGAGTCCTCCCCCCGAGGAGGAAGGAGCGGCAGAGACAACGTGTGATGAACAGACTGCAACCCCCATTCCCCGTCCCCCTGCGCCGCTGAGAGGGGAGGAGGTAGATAAAATCGGGAGCGAAGTTGAGCAGCCCGGGAAGAAGGGAGGGGTGGGGGGAAGGTGTTTTAAGATTTGGTTTTATTTCTCATTACCCTTTTCTGATTTGATTGGTAATAAATTAAACTAATTTCCCCAAGTCGAGTCTGTTTTGCCCGTGATGGTAATTGGTGAGTGATCTCCCTGTCCTTATTTCAACCCACGAGCCTCTCGTCGTATTTTCCCTCCCCTCTCCAGCTGAGGAGGGGAGCGATAGAGCAGCTTTGGTGGGCACCAGTGCTGAGCATCAGAAGATGGGTTGGGCACCAGCACAGAGCCCCGTTTGAAGCCCAGTGCCCTGCGCCATGAAGCACGGCTGCATCTACTGGGTTTTTCTCCACCAAGCTCCTCTCTCCACCTACCCTCTGCCCTTCCCAGGAGCACGCAGACAGGGCAACGGTGCTCGTCAGCTCCAGGGAACGGTTCCTACCCGTCAATGAGAGGTATGTATTCGGTGGGGTACTCCACAGTTCCCTGCTTCTGTTTCCTGCAAAACCTCATCTTCTCCCGTCGTAGCCAGCTCTGTCGTTCCCGCCTCAGATCCTGGAGTGACTGGGCCAAAGCCTCAGCTCCAGCCAACACCTGCACGCTGCAAGGAGAAGAGCAATTGCGCACTCCGATCTGCAGACCGCCGAGCACTTAACGAAGGGGCCAGTGCCCAAGTCCCAGCTGACAGATGGGGAAACTGAGCCCAGAAGAGCAAAATGGCTTCGTGTCACCCAAGAGGGGATGTAGCACGAGGACACCCCGGTTTCCCACCTCCCAGACGAGCGCTAGACCTGCTAGACGTGCCACCCCCCCCCAGCTGCGTGAGTGGAGAGCAGGGAGAGGGAAAAGAGTGCCAAGAGCCTGTTGAGAGCTGTGAAAGGAGATACTCCACCACCGCAGGTGAGGACCAGCCCGGGGCTGGCAAGCGTTACGGATCTGCCAGGAAACGTATGTCATGATACACACGGCGTCTGACAGGAATGGCTTTTTTCTTTCTCCAAATCAGCTCTCAGGAAATGGAAGCGTTGGAGAATCGTTCCAGTGGAACACGAGATGGTAGGAAACAATAAAATCCCAGGCAGATAAGTTGTATATAAATGGATCGGCTTTTATTCAATATTTATTGCTTGCTCTATTAATTCTGAAATCAAACTGGCACGTATAACAAAATAATGATTTTCTTGGCCAGAAGCGAACGTTCAATACTTTTTTCATTAGTTTTTAAACAGGTAATCCTTCCCCTCAGTTTTAACAGCGTGTGAAAAGTTATAAAAGAAAGAGGCAGACCTCGATCGCCGAGATTAGTACATTAATGCCAGCGCATCTCCTGCGGTCAGCGGGGCAGAGCACGGCGGAGCGCGTGGAGAGCACGCCTCCCTCGTGAGCACACGCTGGGCAAGGCTTTCCACTCCTACGCACCGGGTTCAAGACCCGCTGCTGTTTACATTTCTACCCGTGGAGATCGACACCGGTAACTCCCCGAGGGCCCAGGACTGACTCACTCACCAGCGTTTCCGTGCAGCTCATGGGGGCCCCGCGTGCTCTCGCGTCCCACCCTGCGAGAATCCAGGTGTAGTCATTCCCCAAAAACATTTATTCCTTGAAACAAGTAAGAATGTTCATTCCGAAGGAAGGTTATCAGAAAGCAGAGGAGTGCCACCGCTGTACTCCCAAACCACACCTTTATTTTAATATTTTAAAGCCCTCCGGACGACTGACCGCTCAGCAGAAGCGGCGGCGGGCCGGGCAGGCAGCACCCCGACACCAGCACGGGCTCAAACGCAGACGCGCCGAGAAGTGCATCTATCGTACAGCCAGCTGCAGCCTCCCGAATGCCAAATGAAGGTGGGAAGAGAGTCCTTTTCAAGTTCAAGCCCTCCAAATCACGCAGCGCTCTTCAGCTGTGTGCCGAAGGAAGAACGGATGTCTGTCGGACACAGCTTCATTCTCATACTGTGGAGTTTATTTAAAACACAGAAGGTGTTTGCACAAAGTCGGTCTCTTCTCTGGAGTCCTCTGCGCTCAGCTGTCGAGCAGCAGCTCCGACGGGCCCCGTATCCACATTAGTGTGTCGGCCAGACAGCAACCACAGCAATCGCGATCAGCAGCAACACAATCACCACCAGCATTCCTGGAAAAGACGAAAGGACATTAAGGTTGCTGCCTTCATCTTTAACAATTGGCCTTTTGCAATTAAATTCTTCCTCCGAGTCCTGCTCCTCCTCTCAGCTGAGACTCATTTTCCCCCGTGCTCACCCCGTCCAAGCCCCTCACCAGATCCCTGCGTCGATGACCTGAACAGCGACGTGGACTCAAACCCCACGTCGCTAGAGCAGTTCTTTCCCTTCCTGACCCTTCCAATTAATTTTTTTTTTTAACAGTGCCTGCAGGGTATCTTCCTACTTAAACATCTGCCTCGCGAAGATTAAGGGATATGTTTAACTCACAGCAAGGCCAGTTAAGCTTTTCTAGAATCCCTCTGTACCATCCCACTGGGGCAAAGGATTATTCAGAAGGAAATCCAAATTGCATCAGGAAATTGTTTCCAATACAAACTACTCCTGCTTTCAGACAAAACTATCCGCAGAGCAAAAGCAGGGCTTTCGGGTATGTACCTGACTTGGGAAAATGAAGATCAACCAGCATTAAAGAGAGTCTAACAGTGCTCTGCCCAACCGTGCAGCACGCGGGCTGCGTGTGCTCCATCCCGCCCCAAAACCGTACCGGTCGATATGCACAAGTTAATGACTAGCACAATCTTACAAAACTTTGCGACTATTTTTTAGCTCGGGCACACCATGCTGCTCTGCAGAAGGACGGTGTTAAAAAAATATAAGTCATGGATCGTTTTGAAGACTGATCTGGAAAACCAGCAAAGCAGATTTTCTCTCTCAACTGAACGACAGCAATAAGGCGACACGGCTGTCAGACGCCCGCTAGAGAAAACTGATTCTCCTTAGTTTCCCCTTTCTTAGGGAGAACTCACCCCTTTCTTAGAGGAGAGAAAGAAATGTTTTACTGAAAACGGCCGGGGTCCCTGTGGTACACCCCATCGCCTCCCTAAGCAGCCCCAACACGTCAACTCCTCCCGCGGCCGGCTGGACCACTGCACGCTTCGGGCACTGGCATCACGCACACAGGCGTCCTCTGGGGTTAAACGATCTTTTAATTACGAGGCTTTTGTTTTGGTTTAGTATCTGCTCCGCGCTATCCCCCCGTCAGAGCTGTGGGAATACGTTAGGGCTCGAGGAGCGGAAAAAATGTCCCTTCATTTGGTCCGCTCACAGATGACTATTACTCAACCACTTATAATATTTACAAGTCCAGCTCATGGCAATTAAAAAAGGATGTATTAAAATAAACTCCTCTTTCCAAGCTGGAAAAGGATATTAGACATCGCTTTTTGTAAATAGTGTCATGTTTTCTGTGCAGAAACTGTTTCTCTGCCAGGGGTCCAGGATTTTTTTCCAGGGAAATAAGAATTGCCACCAACAGTATTTTTTTCTTTTATGCTCGGTTGAAACCATTTGTTATCTGAAGTGAGCTTGAGCAGCGCTTCACCGCACCGGCTCAAGCAGGTCTCGGATATTGAGCCTTTCTTTCCCTTGCAGAAACAGCTGACTGCCAAACAGAGACGGCAGCAGCTCCGACGCTCCACCTGGGATGCCCAAGGACTGCGGCAGGACTCGGCACTGAGGTGGGGTGTGGGGACAAGCTCTTTGGCTAGGCGGGGACAAGTGCTTTAGCTAAATCATGGATACCGACTGCATCCTTTGGGGTAGGATGATTTTGGGGTGATTTTTTTAGAGCACGCTAAGCCTCAGGCTAAACCTGGATGAAACTGCTTACTAATCACATTAAACGGAGTAAGCTAGTAAAAATGCATCTGTCTGCTCCTGACGCTCTGTTTGCGCCTCTAACAAGGGCTTGGGTTTGCCTCTGACTCCAGAAGCCACCGGGACCGTGCTGCACAGCGCTGCCTTTCCAGCTAACGACCGCCGCGCTTGCACCCAGCCCCGGCGGGCGCGGGGCAGCCAGGGTCCACGCCGGGGGCACCCGGGAAACCGGGTTTCTCCCACCAGCGCCAGCTCCCTCACAGGTAAGGTCCTTCGGGAAGCATCCCGGAGGATGCTCCCGCCGCTGGGCTCCCGCAGCGCCTAGCCTAGCTCCAGATCCTCGTCCTGGGTCCGTGTCTATCAATGCGAGTCCGAGCACATTTGACGCAGCTGGATCTCAGACCATACACAGGCGACTTGCTCCGACCCACTGGAATGGGTGAGAGAGGGATATCGTTCAGTTTTCAACCTCAGCCGACCGCTCAACATCACCCAGCAACACAAACCCAGATTAATCCACTGGGAACACGATCTATACTTTTACTGTGCTTCTAGTCTCTCGCTTTTTACTTCTTAATGTACATTTTGTAGTCTTCAACAGAGTCAGAAGCAAATCGTTTACTTAAATTGGGAAGAAATAAGATCTGATAAAGCTGCCGCATTCAGATTCTCTGTTATGTTTCGCACTGGAGGGAAAAGTTTTAGAGGGTGTAAATCCTTAGCACAGTTTCAGTGTAATAGAGTTTATGAACTTCAGCAATTAAGAAACAACCGAGATCAGTTGCTTGGAAAATACTCTATAGGTGTGAATTAGTAATGATACAAAGTGGAGTTAATGGGGTGTAATTATTCTTTGACAACTCCCAAGAAAAACTGCACATAAACCCAGAACTATTACACAGCAGGAACAGGGGAAGGTGGGGGACTAATAAAGTATTGCTAATGGGCAATAGCAGAATGAACAGGAAACTTAAGAGGACGTTCAGAGCACCAAGAGCGGGACAGCAAAACGAAATAAACTTCATTTTATTCCTGGAAAGAGACTGGTATGAAAATCCTGGAGCCACTTTTCTGTTTCCAAAAGCGGTGGTCAAGTACTTACTCCCCACGTGAGAGACGGAGAAGCAGAGATGGCACGTGGCGGTGCAATATAAATCAGCAACCCGCCAGTATTAAAGGCTTACCTGATCCGTGCGATATGCACAAAAAGAATAGGACGATATAAAATGGCAATAGCACACAAATTTCAAAGTACCTCTTGCATGATAGAGACCAGATGTTACGCACGTTTCTCCCCCCCTACACTACAGAACAGCAGATTAGAAGGATCTGAAGCTTTTAAACCTGGGTGTTTCACACAGTACAACATGCTTTTCTAACAAAAACTGCGGATAGGATCTGACAGCAATTATGCGTTCTAGATTCCCTGCCTGCTTTTTTTTTTGCTCAAGTCCTGTGAAATATAAATATTCCCCTTGACAAGAACTCCTCAAAGAGACGTTCAGGAATCAAAGCTACTAACAAAGTAAACAGGAGTCAGAGAAGAAAAAATAAAAAAGATTCCTGCGCGAAAGAAAACAGTGACAGGAATACAAATTTGAAATGCATTTCTCAGGGAAAGGTGGGAAGTGCAAGCAGAAGTCTAGGTGCAATTACAGAGCAATTAATTAAGGCAGGTTGGAGAAAGTGCAATGCTCTTGAAGCTCCATCTGCTAAAGCGTTTGAGATGGTGCTGCTGCCTCAGCTCAGAGAAGCAGTGCAGAAACGCAGAGGGCACGTCCTCAGCTTACGCCGAGTTTCAGGGCTGCACGGGGTGCCGGCGGGGCGCGGGCCCCCCCCGCCGTTCCCGGGAGCACCGGCTCTCACGCTGCTTTACCGGGTTTTAATCCTACTGCTGAGATCAGCTGCGCCTCTGCTCGTCACCCTGATCCCGACCCCCCCAGTCCCTGGGCAGCTGGGGGGGTTCAATGCTCCAAACCTAGCAAAGCCTTTTCCAAAAAAACGTTAAGATCAAATTTTCAGATATAAGATGGAAAGAAAAGGTGACAATACATGTAATTTATCCCTAGGTTAAGATCACTCTTTAGTCTGTCTCACCTGCTATCTGTCCAGCCACGAGACCGAAGGATCTGGGGTTCACACCATACCCCCCATCTGCCTGGGGTCACTTGGGGCAGCCCTTCTCCAACTCCCAAATCTCTTCCTTCTCTCAAGGATTTATCAGCTTTGAGGGTCATTGGTTTGGGGTTCATCATGGACACCCTCCCCACTGTACCTGATTTACTCCTACAGTAACAACTTCCCAGCTGGGGCTCCCGTGGAAATGCAAACACGTCCTCCAGGTCTGCCTCTGCCTGAAGGGGTCTGGGCATCTAGAAGATGATTTTCCACCCCCAGTTTGCACCCCAGTTTCCAGGGCGTTAATGATCTGTGTCAATACAGGTGATGGCTGAGGACTGCATCCCCTCGTGTCTATCCAGCCAGACAGTAACTACCCCTGCCCAGTCGGGACTGTGTAACTTGAGGGTGTAAGTTCTTGTTAGAAGTAAGACCACACTTAAAGCCCATGCTCTCTGGTGCACTGCCAGCCGTCCTCGGCGATGACAAACACCAGTCACACAGACGACAAGTCCAATAAATCATTTAATTTCCCTCTCTTCATCCCAACCTTTGCTGTTTTCCCGTCGCAGAGACCCAGATGTGGCTTGGAGCCACACCACGCTGAGCACCGTGCAAACACAGCACATCCCTGCCCTCGAAAGCATCCCTCTCCTTCCAGGCATCCCTCTCCTCTTGGTACAGAGCCCACGCTACAGGCACTGCAGGCGTGTTACAGCCTACATCACACCACTGAAATCCTGGACGTGCTGCAGAGCTGCGAGAGGACAGAATAATTAACATTTCTGGTTTGTAACTTCACGCAAGCACAGGGTGCCACGTACTAAATAAGCCTATTTGCCTCAGATAACTGTTATGAATCACAAATAACGCTGATGAATTGGTTTCCTCAGAGAAGAGCGGATACCTACCGTCAGCCAGCAGCCGGCTTTCGTGTTTGTGATTAATCATCGAGACTTTCCAATTCCTTCTGCTGACTGTTCAGATGCAGGCAGCTGAGACTCAACGATCTCCAGTTTTCTTTAAAGCATTTTTAATTCCTAATGCTAACGACGGCGGGAGCCCAGCAGAAATTTCTGCTCACAAGCACTGCCGCTGATGGAGAGATGAGCCCTCGCAGCACCCATACAAAGCAGCCAATTGTTGCTTGTCAACTGGGTGCTTATGCCAGCTTTCT